GGGTTATTTGGGGAACACCAGACCCCCCACAGTTTAGGGTTGTGTGGATTCAACCCCCGAAAACCCCCCACCGGGTAGGGGGATTTGGGGAAGTAGAGGCCCACACACCTTAAGTTGCCAGGTTTGAAAAATGCTAGTCAAAAGGTTTCAGATTACATCAGAAGGTCTCAATAAACACAATGGGTTTTCAATGTATTACGATTGCTAGTTGATGAGATGCTTGCAGTCTGTCTCACATACAACCTGCATCTGCAACCACCAGTCTTCCCAGTTTGAATCTTACATCAGTTTAACCACTTTTCCTGCGTCCGATGAAGCGAGCAACAGATCATGAAAGCTTATTCCTTTTAATAAAATGTGTTAGTCCAAAGGTTTGCTCCCAAGTTCCTCCTGGTGTTGGACTGTCATACACTTATACCAGTCTCTCCCTACAGAACCTTCACAAGATTTCCATTGGGACCAATCACATCCTGTAAAATGTTGGTCATTAAACGTAGAGCATTTGTTTAAACGACTTGGTGCCATTTAAGAGACAGTAGGTGCCCTGGAATTTGCACCACTAATACTGCAAGTCCAGACCTGAGGGAAAAGAAAATGAAGTATCTAAATTTAAAAATGTGAGCATAATTTCTCTAGTATAGCTTAGAGTCATGACCAACCTCCTTTCATGAATATGCCTGCTTCTTAATTTAAAAAATAAAAAATTCAGTTCAAGAAGTGATCTGGTAGCCCCTTAAAAGGAAACGCATTTATTATTGCAAGTTTCTGTGAGTTTACTTCATCAAATTCATGGCATCTGTCCAGACCTGAAGGCTGAGAATTATATATGCGGGACTGTTGTTGGTGAGTGAAAAGAAAGAGTGATGAAAAGAGAGCCCAAATTGCCTTGAGTGACCATTAATATTAACAGGTGCAACAACAGACGTTCTTGCAGTGAATGGATGATACATGTAGGATAATAAGAAACATTGTTCTCTGTTTAGTCTATGAGAAATGGATGAATTCTCGTTCCAATGTCTTTGTAATTCATTTTCTCAAAGGAGGCCACCTTAAAATCAGTGGTAGAGTGTCCGAGGGAACTGAAACAAGCCCCCACCCTTTGGTTTTTGAATGTAGCTGTTTCTAGTGTTCAAGGAAAATTTCACACAGAATCCCAAATCCTGTACAGCACACCCCCATTCCATTTCACATGGCCCTCTAGAAGGGGATTAGATGACATTTTTTTGCAGAAAAATGAAATACTTCTGGCTGATAAATGACTCTGTAACACAAATGCAGAAAAATTAGCACTCTCTCATATGTGACGACACCAGGATGATTGGCTGGTTGCTACTTTAGCATCTCATTTATCACTGAGATTACTGGTTTATTTTCTTGCAAAGATTACATGCATAATTCCTCTTTAGATATTATACTCGGAATAATGGATGGCTTTAAAGTAAATATCAGCCTGGAGTTCACCTACACGATCCTGCTGATAACCACTCCAGTGATTTATGAAAAGTCTCCAAGCTTCTTGGAAGGTGAATTAGATCCCCTCCATTACAAAACAAAAAACAAAAAATCCATTAATTATTCACACTTCTCCCAGTCAGAAATTGGATAGAATATAAACTCCGGAGGAGAGTTCACAATGATCAAACAAGCACACCAGTTCTTACAGAGAATGTGAGACACACAAGGGTGCAAGCATGGAGTTTGGCTAGAAACGGTCAAAACCTAGCATCTTCTACTTATGATGGATCAAAGATTACTCTCTTCACTCCACCCTCCATCTCCAGATGCATTTAAGAGGGATTTGTAAATATCTTTACTTAATAAAGCAGATTGGTTGAAGTCGTTGTGAGCAATTGCTGGAGGTAGGGCTCTTTTGTTGTAAGTTAGATGGTAGATAGGTTTCTGGTATCATGGTATATAATGATTTTATTGCTTTTGTGAAATTTTGATTGCTGTTGGGTTTTGTTAATTTTTGATCATGGCTGAGCCTTGCTGGGGCAGGGGTGCATCATAAATACAATGTACTCAGTTTTGCCCTCATCCCAGACATGAAAGCATCCAAGTCCCCACCCTCCACCCCCTTTCACACCAAGCTAACCTGGTGGCAGTGACATTCCATCATTGGTCACTGGTGGTGGACTCTGGGGCACACACCATTTCAGATTCCCCTCTATGCCAGAGAAAGAGCCACCTATAAGTTACTGCTTGGAGCTTCATGGAGAACTAAATATTCTCTTTCTACTATCCCCACCAGGTCCTTCACTTAAATCTCTCATGTCTCAGAGCAATATTGTTTCAGGCACTGGCATTTAAATGGAGACTTAGTCCATTGACAACTTATTCACACCCAGAACAGGCACAAACAAATGTAAGGTTGTGCATAATGGGGTGGAGGAGGAGAGAAAGCAGGAGCTGTAAACCGTGAACATCTGCATGGCCAGAGATTCTCCAATCCCAAGAGGACAGTGGCATTTTCTTTGTGAATTATGGCATTCCCATATGCCTGTAGAAGAAACTGGGATGATTAATGCATACGAGGGTTTAATATCGTGGCAAAGAGGTGAAAATGGGATTCCTTCTCAGCCACAGCTGTGGCTCAGTTACAGACTGAAGCACCGTCTACCTAATGAAAAATCCACAGCTGTTATTCCATGCACTCAGATGCCTGATCCACTCTTTTTCTTCTCTTTGTCCCAACACCACCATTTCCTATGTAATATCTTCAAGGAGTAGTGTTCTCTGGGTTCCTCCCATGCAGCTGTATTAAGACCACTTCTGTCCATGGAAAATTCACAGCTTCCACCACACTACCTACCTGACTGCATGGATATTAAATATATCAGCAGGGGCTGCATCCACAGGGCTGCAGGAAGAAGGTAGGGCGTGGCTTTATTATTATTTATTTAGTTATTTAATCTTGTTACAGCTGCCCACTCCAGTAGACTGTGGGAGGCTTAGAAAATCCAAACAACAATAAATGATTGAAAGCTATGCTTTGCCTTGAAACAATAGCAATGCACCACGCTATACAGTCATCAGGAAATGGATTTGGTGCAAGTAGTTTGATAAGGATTTGATCACAGGTGAACATTTAGCCTCTGATTCATTGGTGGAGTTGCTGACAAGCATCAGTGAGCCAGGTTTATTCTCCTCATGGAGTTTTGGCTTGTTTTAATCATAATTATTTAAATCAGACCTGGCTGGATTTATACCACCAAAACTAAGTAAAATGTGATGACTTTTTGGACCTCCTATGGATGCCCCTTGCTTGTATTTATTTGACTTACGTAAGGAAGAATTATTTGGAATTATTTGATATCTATACTGCTTCTGACTTGATTTCTGATGTTTGTATTTTGCTGAAGTATGACTATTGGACCATCCAACCTTTTGTTGAGTGATCTGGTTCACATTGTGCTAAGCTGTAGCTCCCCGCTTTGCTAAACCATGAGCTGTGATCTACAAGCCACAGTGGCTAGATTCACTTCTCCTGCTAGCCCAAATCAAACAAACTACAAGCTAAACACAATGAGCAAATCAACTGTATGTAAAGTTTTGAACATGTTGAGGATGTTCTGCTTTGTTGAAGAAGCTGTTATTAACTGGGGAGGTATTTAACCCTTTATTAACCATTTAAACTTAGAAGGTCAATGGTAGCACATTTTCACACTAACAAATTTTATTAAAAGGCACAAGCCACAGCTCACTTCAACAGCTTCACTAGTTTCTTTGACAACTATCCACCCTGAAGCAGATTCTCACAAGAAACAACAGGACAATGATGCCAACGTGGGGACTAGATTCTGCTACAAACCCAGAGGTCTACTTTGCCCCCACATTTAAACCAACAGCACCATCACAAGCCCCAACAACTTCACAGATTAGAGGTGCCTTTATAGGTTCCTCCTCTAAGACAGTATATGTCATCATTCACCGGCAGCTCCCCTGTATTCTATGTTGGACAAACAAATAAAAGAATTAAAAGACCCAGGTTTGGTATCAGGACTTGAAGCAAGGACAAAGTAATATTAGAGCATTTTTACCTTCCAGGATACTCCATTACAGATCTCAAGGTAGCTGCTTTGGAACAACAAAACTACACCAGCACTACAGAGCGAGAGGTTGCTGAACTCACATCAAAATTTTCAGATTCTCTCAGAAGGTCTCAGCAAACACAGTGGGTATGGAATATGTTACAATTCTTAATTGATAAAGTGCTGGCAACCTGCATAACCACCCTGCCTTTCCCTGCTCACTAATTGTCTCATCCCAATTGAAATCCTACATCAGTTTAGCCCAGCGTCTCTCACCCTTGGCAACTTGAAGATATGTGGACTTCAACTCCCAGAATTCCCCAGCCACTGGGGAATTCTGGGAGTTGAAGTCCACATATCTTCAAGTTGCCAAGGATGAGGGACACTGGGCTAGCCACTCTATGCATCTGATGAAGGGAGCTGCAGCTCATGAAAGCTGATGCCTTTTCATATAATTTCTTAATCGGAAAAGGTGTTACCACACCCCTCTTGTTTTTTGGCTACTGTAGACTAATATGGCTCCATATTAGTAGATTAGGAATCAGGAACTACAGCTGCCCTGAAGTGGTCAGGAAGGTCTAATGATTAGAAATGATTAATCAATCTGGCTAGCTCGGCCCCATAAGCATTTCATTCGGTGATAAGCAAGCTGATGCCATCCAGATATTTTTTGAACTGCACCTCTTGTCATTTCCCACGATGGTCGGCTTAATAGGATTTTAAAAACTAGAGCAGATTAGCTGGCCTGTCCTTGAGTTCTTTAGTCGCTGGTTTAATTATAGATCAAAAAATGCTTGTAAGATCACTGTTCCCCAGAGTGCCTACCCATCCTTTTCACAGAGGCTCCATCTGTTAAAAAAAGTCAATAAATTCACAGTACTGAGATCTTCCATAATGGTTTGGCTTTCTAAAGGATGAAAAAGATGGAGATTACAAAGGAGCAATCGCTTAACTCCCATTTCAAAAATGGCCCCTGCATGCATGTTTTACAGTGGGGAGAGCAATCTCCTGGGAAGTTATGCGTGACCCAGAATGGGAGAATGTGTTCCCGGTCCAGATCATGATTACACTGTGGCTGGTTCCAACATGTTTGCCTAAGCATCTCTTTAGGGGCAAACACTGAGCTAATCTGGAGAAATCAGCAAGTAAACTTACAGGTTGGCTTTCTTCTATTTCATTTTGGACATTGTGAGATAGAAGCAACGATAATTTTTCCCACCCAATGCTCTTAATCAAGTGCTTAATTGAAGAAATGAAGGTGGCCATCGAGGCTCAGATATAAGAAGATGTCACGTGTTAACCTGGGAGAGAGTTCCCATCATCTTAAAGGAACAGAGACTGTACAATTTGATGTGGACATTCTGCTTTTGCTCCAAGTTTAATGTGGACATTGACACATCTTTATTTTTCTAGGACTACTTGGGTTTGGGTAGGCTCTTTATCTCTTAAACACATATATGGTAAAATAGATCCTTGTGTGATTTTGCAGTTGGTACATGATTTTTCATATATGCCAAAAGAAACTGTATAAAATAAGGACCTCATTGAACACAGGGCCAGGACAAGGTTTAGCTCTATTGCATTTGTATATATGCATCTACTTACATGCCAGGGTTGTGTATATGAATAGAACAAACAATCCAGGGGAAGGAAAATGTACGTGCATAGGATTTTTGTGTGTGAGAGAGAGAGATTGAGAGAGAAAATGTGAGTCTAAAGCAGTGTTTCTCAACCTCAGCAAATTTTAAGATGTGTGGACTTCGATTTCAGAATTGCTGGCTGGGGAATTCTGGGAGTTGAAATCCATACATCTTAAAGTTGCTGAGATTGAGAACCATAGGTCTAAGTCATTCACTGTTTCAATCATGGTTTGCTGAACAAGCTATAGCCTGGGTTCATACAAAATACTAAACTATATTTTTTGTGGTTTAAAATATTGTGTGAACCAAGCCATTTCAGTTTTAAAACCAGTTTATGGGTTCGCATGTCATGGGAATTTAGCCAGTGGTAATTTCTTCAACAGGCATGGTTAAACAAATGATGGCTTAACATGACGAGTGTAGGTCTGCTGTGAGCCTGTGAGCTGTTTCTTGAGCCCCCTCTTTAAAATTGCAGCAAATGTTTGTGTCTCCCTGGCCCTTGAGAGCATTAACTTTCAACAATAAGAGCCAGGTTCATTAGATGCATGGAGCAGACAACAAAGGCATCTGTGATTATATGAATTAGTAAAAGAGCAGTGAATAAATCAGACAAACAAGGTGAGAGCTATAAATAGCAGTGGTTAACCAAAACAATAGCAACAACCTGAGGCAGAGATACGACTATAATAAATCATCCAAACGTTTGCAATATTGTGAAAGAACGGCATAATAGCCTGCCAGATGAGATTGCTGAAATGGACAGCAGTCTTACCAAACACCTGAGCAAGACTGGCCTGCAGTCAAAAATGTGACCCCCTGCTTCAGGTCAATATATTTTTAAGGGCACAGACCCCTCTTGTGAGCAGTGAGACCCTTCAGGGAGCCATCATTTATCCAAGGGTTTGGCTAGAAAGAGGTCGCTGGAAGCTTCTGATGTTTCTTCTAAGCTCTACAGATTATCCCAAATACACAAGCTGAGGATAAGATAAGGGTTTGCAGTATTAACTCCCCATCAAATTGCTAGCAAGAAAGCATATGATAAAAGGACAACCTAGATTTGGGCAGAAGGTTAGACTACACCTCCCACAATTTCCTATTTTGGTAGAAGTGGTTCAGGCTTCCAAGGAGAGATGAAGTCCAAATATCCGAGGGCCTCCTATTGCCTATCTCCGCCATGGAAATTCCTGTAAGTGGTGTGAAGTCAGCTCTTTTCCTGTTTTTCAGTTCTGTCATATATGGTCTTCCTGCTGCACAAACAGATTTCCTTCTTGCATCTCAACTATATCCTGTGTCTCCAACATGGTGCCCATGGGCTTCAACAGGCCACTGGCATATCCCTTTGAATCTGCCAAACTTCTCTCATTTGACTTTTTTTTTAATTAATGGGAAGTTAGTACTGCAAAGAAAACCATCAGCTTCAAGCATGATCTGTACTACCAACAATTTCTCTAGGTCCCATATAGACTCTAGAGGCATTCTTAGAAAATAAAATCATCGTTAGCTGCATTTGAATACGTTGGAAATGTGTCTACCGGACCTCAAAAAAGAAAAAAAAATAACCTGACTTAGCCAAAATCATCCTGGGAAGCTAAAGGGATTTATGGGAAAACACTTCAGGAATGTGCCTTCTGGGAAATAGATGCTTTGTCACTGGCCACATCCAGTTTATTTTTTGGTGTGTCCAAAACATGCTCTCAAAATTCCAATTGGGCCCAAGGCTTAAAAATGTGCCTGCTCCTTCTACAGTCCTTCAAGCTCCTCTGAAACATTTTACTACATTTTACCCTTTATCAGACCTTGTTTGTCACACTGGTACTGTAGTTCTCCCTACAGAAATCTTCAATTCCAAGATTACAAAGGGCTGAAAGAGACCAAACACATCTTTACCTGGGATTTCACTGCAGCTGCAGAGGACAGCTACACAATCTTGGGAAGGTGCTGGTTGAAGATAGCCTATGCTAGCAGCCCTGTGAACTCAAAAACACCTTCGCTTTTCAAAGTGACAGAAGGCATGGATTAATTCTCCATAGCACCCAAGGGTAAAACAAGAACCAGTGGGTGGAAGCTTAACAGAGAGAGATCCAAACTTGAAATAAGAAGGAATTTCTTGATTATGAGAGCTATTAAGCAATGTAACAACCAGCTTCCTGAGGCTGTGGGTGCTTGATCACTGGAGGTTTTCAAGAAAATATTGGACTGCCATATGTCCAGGATGATATGAGGATTCCTGCAGTGGGCAGGAGTTGGAACAGATTACCTTCAAGATTCCTTCCAGCCCTATGATTATATGATTTTATGACTTCTCATGAATGACAAATTACTGCTTCCTTAGCTATGGGACCCATTGAGCATATTAACAAATTTAAGCAGTGTTATTTGTAAATGCCTGCCCATTCCAATTGTTGTCTTCTCAAACCAGAAGAAGGTAGCTCACATTGAAGAAATCCAGAAGTCTGAATTTCACCCTGGTAGATCATAGAAAAGAGACTTTTGCCAAGCAAGAGTGATCTGTGAGCTTAAAATGTGGGCTTTCTGGACCAACACCATTGCTTACATAATAAGGAACTTCAGTGTCATCAGCTTTCTGAGAAAAGGGAAGGTGGAGAGACAGCAGAGAAGCCATAAGACATGTGATACTAATTACCCAGAAATGCACCAGGATAGCTTGTTACCTAATTTAGATGCTGATCTAAGGTGAATGAAAGGAGGAAGTGCAGAGCCTAGGGAAAATTTAAGGGAAACTATAATTCAACTGTTGTTGAATAATGTCACTCCCAGAGAAGTCTAATCAAAGGTCAGGAACTCTGGTGAAGCATCAGTCTAGGAGACTGTCTTAAAATTGCAGGTTTGGGCTCAAGGAATCACATTTTTAGTTTGAACTTTCTCTCTTTCATAATCAAGAGAGAAATATGTGCCGCTATCAAGAGATCCAAGGACTGGATCTCTGTAGGCTTGTAGACCAAAGTTTTATTTTGAGAGATGTATTTTCATACGTAAAGCAATACTTCCTTGGATATAAAAGGTCTCTGTCTGAGGCAGTGTTTCTCAACCTCAACAACTTTAGGATGTGTGGACTTCAACTCCCAGAATTCCCCAGGCAGCATAAAACACTAGGATTGAGGATCAAAGCCATCAGCAACTGCTAGATGCTGAATTGTTGACAACATACTTGAATCCTCAGGCAGTTCTTTTCCTGTTCATGACTGAAAGCTTTCCACATGCATCTGGTCAGCTACTATGCAACCCAGAATGGGCTATTCTTATGTTCCTTAGGAAAGGAAAAGGAAGGCTTGCTGGTACCTTAAAAAGAGAGATGATTGCTTTTGTTCCTGATGACCTAAACCTTCCATCCTGCTTTTGCTGCTGATGTCAAGAACAAATGCTTTCTCCAGAATCATATATGGGGAAAGGCCCTGCATAATAGAAATAAAAAGAAAGGCAGATGACCAGAGAGTGGGAGACCCAAGCAGAGTTAACTTCGGCCTTCTCTCTACTCCAGTGTTTCTCAACTTGGCAACTTTCAGATGCGTGGACTTCAACTTCCAGGATTCCCCAGCCAGCCT